TTGAAAACACTGCTTTATGGACTCCGTTAAAAACACGTTTTTCTTGAGTTTTCCTGTTCAGACATGTGTGACGTGCAAGTTGTGTACATTATAAAATAGGTAATACGCTTCTGGATGTTTATATTAATATAATATATACATAAAAATGTGTTCGGTTTGACGGAGAGGACTTGTTATTTTTTATGTTATATACTTATCCACATATATATCTGTATATTTTCATACTCTGCTTTTTTGAGGAATCCATGGTATTTCTCCCTATGCATATCAGAATTCCAGTGTCTGAAATAATTTCAGGCTCTGTTTTCAGGGGGTCACCTGAAGACCCCCTAAATCTAAAGGTGTTTTTTTGTGTGTGTGTTTATTTTGGGCTGCTAGTATTTTTTATTACTATTCCTTGGGGCAGTAAGAAAAGACTGTTTTAACTGAGGGCTGTGCGGAGGATGCGATGGGGTCGCACATTAGGGCTGCTGTCTAGGGTGATTACCACCGATTTAACACGGTGCTTCTGCAAAGAGGGGAGATTCCCCAGGGCTCATGTTGGGGTAGTGAAGAAACTGCAAGCAGCTGGAGGTGTCACTGCCCTTCATTGGAAGCTCTTCCTCCTTGAGGTCTTGAGCAAGTTCAAAAGCTGGTCAGATTCTTCATGGTAGACTAAATTCTGGTTTTAATCCTCAAAGCATGAGGGTTTTGACCTAACTGAAGTATTTATAATACTTCCGTGCTTACACTTCACATCAGTAGTAATGTATCTGTATTAATGAATTAATTCAAGTTTGTAGCTCAGGCGTTGCCTGTAAATGAGACCGGCCCATGCATGCAGGCCTTTCTCCGTGGAAGTTTAATGTCACCCCTGTGCTCGCCTGTATTGGAAGAAAGTAAAGGGTGGAGGAGTAGGAGGGAAGATGATTCCCTTGACTCTTCTGCTATCCAGACTGCATCTTAACACACGAGCTGCTTCCTGGCACTGTTACATTAACGTCTGAGAGGCTGCGGAGGGAGCGGAGGGCTGTGTGTGCCCAAGAGCCACTCCTGAGCTTCTAGGAATTCGCTTTTCTGGCGTGTTTTTGTGCGGCTTTACTTGGAGGGTGATCTTACAGGCTTGGAGGGTATTTTCGTAGAGGCTGATATTCTATGCGGTGCATTATCTCTGCTGGCAGCGCGCTTTGAAGCGCAGATAGTGCGCGAAGGACGATGCGTCAGCGCACGGCACCTTCGCCTGGCGATAGCGAGGACGTGAAGGCGGCCGGCGCGGCCTGCCTGGGCCTCGGGTCTGTGCGTCCCAAAATCAAGGGGTTTCTGCAAAAAACTGAGTTAGGATTTTGTCTGAAATGAACAGTTTTCAAAATTGCTAAATTGTTTGGGGAAACTCATTCTCGGGGTATGAGTTTGACTTCCTGACAGTCTTGCAGGGGGGCAGCCCATGATTTTAGGTTGCTAATGGCTTGGGTTTGCATCTATTTTACACCTTTTTTTACACTTTTTTTTAAAGTTAATTAGTGAGAAAAACTCCTTTTCCCTAAAATAATTGTTTTTGTCTTAGCTTTATCAGAACTTTATGAAGTTCTTATGAGATCTTAAGATATTGAGTATACTGCTCATAGTTACGGAGATTTTTCGAATAAAATTGTGAATTAAAAGTTATAGATTCTGTTTGTTCATTAGCTGTCAGTGTGCCTTATTTTTAACGCTAGCAGATAAATTCTGTAATAGTTTGTTTTAAGGATATTTTTCCCTAAAGGGTTGGTTCTAAGATTCTGTGGAAAATATTAAAAGTAGAATTATTAGGTAGCATTTTAAAATCTGCACATGCTTTCTGGAAGAAGACCAGAGCGAGAAGCTGGCTGCTGGTGGCCGTTTCGCAGGCTTCTTCCTCGGCGCTGCCTCCCTATTCCCATAGCTGCCTGCCAGTAACAAAAAGCGGAACCGCACCCCATTGTATCGCTCTGCGCTCACCAGCTCCTGAATTTTCTCCCCGTGTTCATCGTGTCAGTATAAGCAGCTGGTAGCACGCGATGGGCCCGGGTTCCCTTGAGGGGGTCAGAAAGAATCGCTGTTTAGCTAAGGGCAGAATATTGTCTGGCAGCACTTTCGACTGAAGAGATGGGTGAGAAAGTTTTGTTCATCTTAAGTTTTTTGGAACACATAAGACTGCCCTTTTTTGTTTTTTTTTCTCCCCTCTGGTCTGCTTTGGTCACTGCAGTTTGCATTGAACTACTGCCAAAAATTAGAAGTCTTTTTAATGAGTCCTTTGAATAAAAGGCAAGAAACACTGATCTTGCATACAAACAAAAAGAAAAACTTGATATGAAACTGAAAATACAAATAGTGAAATGAGGGGAAGAGTGAAAGTGGGAAGACAGTGATATCCAAAATTGTGGTGAGCTCTTTTCTCTCTAATTTGATGAGCTTGGAGCATAACATTATGTTGTTAGTCTGTCTCTATCTCAGAATCTCCTGCTGCCTCTGTCACTTGGAGGGAATAAACTCCTAATTCCCATGTGTGTGAGGTTCCCATTGTGTTAGGACCTTTTTGGTCTTGCACCTTTGAGCCCACATGTTGAGATCCCTTTCAGCTCAGCAGAATTCAAGTGTGTTGGGAACTGAGGCCTAAATTTCTAAGCAAGGATCCCTTGGTTGCTTCCCTGTAGTGTCTGACAGATGTGCTCAGTGGAGAATCAAGCTCCCATTGCTAAGAACACACCAGGGAGGGAAGGCAGTCCCTCCAAATGGCGCAGAGTTCTCCATAGTCATCCAAGAGCGCGGTGGCAGCAGCAGCAGCATTTCCCTTTTCCAAGCTTGTCATTGGAAAGACAGGTGGCCGTAACTGGGTGTTTAATTTCGGGCTCTGCATCTTCTCAGTTCTTTTTATTATTAGTACTGCCCATCTTTGTAAGCCCTGGCTTCAGCTTTGATTTCAAAGAGATGTTTTTTTGTTCTTTTGTTTGTTTGTTTGTTTTGTTTTGAACTAGTAAATCTATAACGGGCACTGCAGCGCCAAAGATCTGCATAACGTGACAACGTTAAAGCAGAGGCATGGTCTGAGCCTATAGAAACTTCAAAAGATGTGGATAACACTGGAGAGCAATATGAGCAATGAAGTATTGTAAAAATACAAAATACAAAAGAGGTATTTATTATGAGCAATACAAATATTGCTCATATTGCTTGCGATCTCTGGCTTAAGAAAACTGAAGTTTTTGTTGTGATGCCGTGGCAGTGCGAAGTGCACTGGCTCTCAAATGCTTTATGCCATTACACCACAAAGCACAGGAGACTTTTCCTTGCCACAGTGTAGGGTTGGGAAGTGCGCTCGGATCTTACAGAGTGCAGAAAAGAAGCAAGAATTGACCTGGCTTAGAAAACTTGCTTCAGATGGTGGTAAAGAGGGACCAGACCTGCCCGCCTGCACAAATTGCACTTGCTCAAAGCACGAGGATGGTGGTGCTGAGACCTCCTGTCTTGGCCGTCCTGCTCTCCTCCACCAAGGAAGGCTCCAGCCTCGGAGTGCAGCCGCTTGTGTTACCAGTAGCCGTGGGAACATTTGTACTTGAGTTCTTTTGAGGTCCTCTTCTTGCCCAGGCTCAGGCACTGTTAACAAGTAGCATTTCAGACTATCTATGCTTTTGTGGATTAAAGTGATTGGGTACGTGAACGTCTCTTTTACACACTAGCTTGGCAGTTATCTGGTGAGAGCGCAAACCTAAATATTACCTAGTGTGATGCAGCTTAGCAGGGAGAGGGAAATTAGGAGGGGGAAAAAAGTGTAGATGTGACAGCACAGCCAACTCGGCTTCTATCTGTGAACTGTAATTGAGGGAGGGGGAAAAAAAGAAGATTTGGCTTATGAATAATTTTTGTAAATAGTTCTACGCTAGCATAAACTACAATTTTGTTTCTAAAGTTGTTAATCATGTTGACAGACTAGTCAACATGCTGTGTTAAAATAAAATTATCTGGCCCCAGCAACATGATACAGATATCTGTGCATTAAAACCTTGATATCTCATAACTGCACAAATCGGTCTTCATAGATCTAAATTGAAATTGTGGTCTGAGAGATCATAGATTTTGTAGTATATATATCCCCTTTCTCCAATCCTGTGCCTTATCTCTCAGATCATGGTTATACTCTCAGATCATCACTATACACTAATTGTCTCAGTCTTCCCCTGTTCTCCAAGTCATGTGAAATCTTGGGCGGGGGTGGGGGTCAACTCACTTCAAGCAGGTAAAGAGAATCAATTAATGGAAATGTGATTAACCGTGAAAACAGGTCACCCAAGGGCAAGGGCACTTCCTACCCAAGGGTAGGAAGTGATATATCCAGTTGCTTTTCTGGTGCATTCAAAATTGATGCAAAACATAGCAACAAGATGAGATTCCCTAGAAAGTAAGGTATAAGTTTCATCCCGAAAATTGTGTGTGTGGGTACAACAGCCTAGAAATTAAATTACTGATTTGTATAAAAAATGACAGTTTAGATTGGATGTGACACTTTTAATCTCTTACAAATGGCATTGCTACAGGCAATAGAATAATTTCTTTCCTCTGTGAAGATAAATGTCATATCAAAGCAAACTATCTTATATTAAACTGCAACTTGCTTTTTTTTTTTTCTGTATGAAAAGATTCATGAGTCTGTTCATTAAATAATAGCACAACCCAATTAAAAGGGTACTTTGGCCAAAGTGTCTTCCTGGTATTTCCTCTTATCAGGCGTGTAGTTAATTTATATGGAGTCCTTGCTGCAGAGACCTAAACTGAACAAAGGAATTTTCCACCATTTCCAGGTGGCCTGATTGTGACCACATTGACCTAGATGGTTGATATTTTGATTTCTAATGTCAATTTGACTGAACTCCTCAACTCTGAATAAGGTTCGACAATCCGAAGAATCTGCTGTATTGAGTTTTTTCAGAGGAAGAGGGAGACACTGTATGTGGCTTTGTTTGTAGAACTTGATTGTGCTTATACCAGTTTCTTTAATGTTTTGGCAGAGAGAAGGAGCAAGAAAGGGAAGAACAGTTAATGGAAGACAAGAAAAGGAAAAAAGAGGATAAGAAAAAGAAGGAATCTGCTCAGAAGGTATGGTTTGATATTTAAATTCTCTTATCTGTCTGGAGCATAGTGTTGTGGTCGGTAATAGATTTTAGCTGATTTATATTTGAACTTAAAAACTCCAGCTTGCCTGAAGTCCATTACCATGTAGTGATACTTCATTAACGGTTTTCTGCCTTTTTTTTCCTTTTTCTTCTTCTAGTCTTAATGATTCTGTGTTACTGGGAGCAGAAGACTTTATTTTTGTAGTTTAAGGGTGTGTTTGTTTTTTTTTTAATTAAAGATCAAATGCTACTCTATGTTAGGTTCTGTAGATTTTGGCAGAGAAAAGCCAGTAACTGACATTCTTTTATGCCAGTTTAATCTTGGCTTACCCAGGGGATTTTTAAAACCATTTTTTTCAGTGGGTTGAGTGGATGAGTTTAAAGCAGTTGTAGTTAAGCAAGTGTAGTTCTCTTGTATTTACTTTAGTCTCTCTCATTCCTTTTGTGCTAATTCATTCCAAGGCTACTTGGTAAAACACCAGTATCTAGAGAATAAGGTTTCTTCAATCTGTCTGATAGTCTCTTTGCTTCAGTGTTGCTGTTTTAATGTTCATACAAAATCCAAATGGATGATAAATTTTCAGCTAAGTATGTACAGAGCCAGGAGGGACTGCACCTTATACTGAGTAAGTAAAGACTAGTGGCTTGAGGGCTATATGCTGATATGCAGGGGTGCAACAGAGATATGGAAAGTTTGCACGAATCACCTTGATAACTGTGCTGTGAGTGTTGGAGGAGCCCTGCCTTACTTGAATGCCAGGGAAGTTGGCGGCCCCTTTCATGTCAAGCCGTTTGGTGTGATTGCACATTATGATACTTTGCCAAAATCTTGGGAAAGGTAAATACTGTAAATACGTTAATCTCCTAGAGACTGAACTTAATGCTTAAGAAGGATATCCAGGAATAGAGAAGCCGGCAACTCAATAGACAAAACATGGGTGTGTGCATTTGATTTTAATGATTGTAGTAGCATTCACTAAACATTAATAAATGATTTGACAGTATCTTTTTTTCCAGATAGTGCTGGCAGTCAAATGTGTTAAAATGAGGAGTTTGTGTAAACTGAAGCTTTTTCTGTCTAGATGACCTGCAGCACTGAAAATGCTTTGCCAACAGTTATGCAGCAAGTTTGTAGACTGAATTTCCTGTGCTTGGTGTCCCAGGGACTGTTCTGCGGCTTGTTGGAGGGTTGAGATTGGCTTCACCTCTCCTTTCAATATATCTGCTTCAGGATTGCCAGTGCTGACAGGTGCCCCTTGGAGAGATGAGGGCTGTAAGTCTGAGATATAGTTCTGCTTCTAGGCCTGAAAAATCACAAGAACAGTCTTCTGGCTATGTGAGAGATGCAGTATAGACAAGTTTTTTTCCCTGAAGGAAACTGTAGTTGTAGTTTCAAGAGCATGAAATTCATGAAAAATTGGGTAAAATGGGTTCTTAATGAGTTCTTCCAAGAAGAGATTTTTCTTTTTTTCTTACTGAGCATGTTTGCTATTCACTAAATGTAGTGTTGGTAGGCTTCTACATGTGAAAATTGGGTCTCTGAAGTATTTTTTCTTCTCCACTTCTGGAAGTGGAGCATCAGAGTCACTTTGAGCGCATAGCAGCATTTTAACTGCATTCCAAAACTAGACATAATTTGACACCTACAAGATTTTTAACTAGTGAAGTGAAAATTGATTTCTGCCTTGTTACAGATGTTAATAAAGTTTTTGTTGTCTTGGGAGAGTTACGGATCACAATTCTATGCAGTTACCATGCTTAAGATCTTATGTTTTGGTGAACATTCTGCTTTGCAGATTGCAGTGAGTATCCTCGCAAAGTAAATGATGGCAGAGCAATTCAGGGAGGTTTGTCTTTTTGTTCTTTACCATACAAAAGAGTTCTGGCTTGGTTGCTTTAAACAATAAACTGCTTTTTACTTGTGCGTTCGTTATTCTATACTGTCACTGTGCTTTCCAGAATTATGGACTAGTTCAGCGATTTCTTTTAAGAATAGGTATCATAGAGCCTGACACATGATGATCTTTAGGGGTTTTCCCTGATTGTTTGGTGGAACTCATGATTGGCAGGTTCAAAACATGCTGGAATACGAGCGATTCCAGAGAATATGCCAGCGGTACGTTTGTTTCTACTGTAGCCAGAAATCTGTTCCACCGTAGGAATAGAGAAGTACAGCAAAAGCAAATATTGAGGACATGGGCAAGCAGGATGGCTCACTTCAGTAACCAGCTTACTGCATGCAGGAGATTTTTGAAGTTGGCGCTTTGTAGATATTGCTGGTACTTTCTGTAGTTGTGGCAATTAATCCAGTAATGTTTAGGTTTCCTTCCTGTAGGAGATGATATCATGGGAAAAGTGAAATGAGAAGGTGGCAGAGAGGCAGGTCGTTGCTCTCACCTGTGGTTACCCCGTGGGAATCTTGTTGCTAGCCACAAAGATTGGCTGTACAGGCCCTCTTACACAGAGGGCAGTTTTTATTGCACTTCAACTGCAATACTTCACCTCCAGAGTCTGAGAGCGTGGTAGTGGTGTAACCCATGTTCGTTTGACTTAATCTTCATTTGGGATGGGAAGGCGTGAATCCTAGAAATCATCACAAGTGAAGAAGTAATTTGCTGTTTCTGAATGAGCTGTTTGCGTGAGGTAGAGAGGCTGTAGGAACTGTAGTGTTCTTGAAAACTTGGTTCTGAGTTAGAACTACTTTTTAGACCTCTAATTTAGCAGTTGATCTTTTTTCATTCAACAAGCACAAATCTTAGCATTAATGAGCTACCATCATGATTTAGTGCAGCCTGCTCAATGTGCTCAATGTTTGAATTTTATAGTTCTTAAAACTTTATTTACGTTCTTACTCTTAATTTGCAGGTCACAGATCAAAAAACCAAAGGTAAGAGTCCTTGTTTGATTGTGAAGATGTTTTTGTGCTTTTTGTTTTTTTGTTGTTTGTTTGCTTTTGTTTTTTCTTGTTGATCAGAGACTCAGTGTCAATCAAAGTTGTTGGAAAAGGTGGGCATTATGAGTCATGGTGAAAAAGGTGAATATTCAGGAAAAAATGAAAAGCGGAACTGTTAAAAACTTTTTGTGTGTATCAGAATCCTAAAAGAGGAATAAAAATAGCCTAGCTGAAAAGTTTAGCCTCACTTTGATTTTTACAATGGTTTTAGGCAAGAAAGCAAATTTGGAGTGGAAGGTTGGGAAAGTACTGCTTATGTTGGGATACCAAAACGAATGAAGTTGACTTTTTTCTGGAAACACAATTAAGAGATAATGAAGGCACCTGAAGTTCAAAAGATGAAGCACGGCTAATGAGTGAACCGCTGAGTGTTTCGCTTGTTCAGCTGATCTAAAAATATCCTTAATCATGACTTGTAAGTTTTTTAAAAATTGCACAAGTAAATTGCCATTAAAAAAGAATTAGCAAAGGAGAACTAAAATAGTGTTTTATTTTACAGCTAACAATACATTTTTTTTCTAATTTGGGGGCAAGGAATGATGCGGTTGCCGAAGAGGAGACTCCCTTGTTTTGTCTCACTTTTGTCCGCCCAAGCTGTCACTGATTGTGTTTAGCAACTATGGTTAGGTTTACTAGACATCCCTTTCTAATCATCCCTCTCAAAAGAGGCTTTAGTAAAGGTATTGGGCTTTCTTTGCTCAATCTGTCTTTGATATCAGAGCGAATTCTTATGGTTTCTACATACCTAGGTAGGTAATACCCAAGTTTCTTTTGCTTGGTTTCAAAAAGCCTGTGGAGAATGGGAATAAAGGAACACAAAGCCTTGATTTGTAGAGTCCTTTTACGAAATTTATTCAGTTTTGTGAAGATGCTCATGGAAGTGAGAAGTTTACTGCTGCTAATTTTTCCTGCTGCTTTAATTAGTTTGATAAGATTGGAGTTGTGTAGTATTCCAGAGAAAAATGGCATGACAAGAGGAAAGATTGTCCGTGGGTGCTTGTAGCTTACAGAGATTGAAGTGGGGGAAAAGACTCCAATTTTCATTATTCCTCTTTTCCAGTGCCCGAAGTGACGAAACCAAGTTTAAGCCAACCAGTGGCTGCCAGCCCAATTGGCAACTCTCCATCGCCACCAGTCAATGGTGGCAACAATGCCAAAAGGGTGGCAGTGCCGAACGGACAACCGCCAAGCGCCGCCCGCTACATGCCTCGGGAGGTGCCGCCGCGATTCCGCTGCCAGCAGGACCACAAAGTGTTACTGAAACGCGGGCAGCCCCCTCCGCCATCCTGCATGCTCCTCGGGGGTGGAGCAGGGCCTCCTCCCCCGGCAGCGCCAGGAGCAAACCCAAGCAACGCACAACCAGTGACAGGAGCACTGCTGCAGGGCGACAGCGGGACTGCAACAGGTAAACGGGGAGATAGGCGGCCGTGGAACGTGTGCGTGCAGAGAAAATGGCACGTACGTGTCTTGGGTGTGTGTGGATGGAGCCACAAATGGATCACTGGAATTGTGTGCAAACACGTTGTTATGTAATAAAACTCCTCAAGGTGCTTTTGGAAATCTTTCTGTTAACTGTTTTGATGCTGCTCAGCCTGAAGGTAAGGAAGGACATGGGTTTTATTTCAAATTTTGGATTCTTAAAAAAAATTTCATTGCCAAAGTTGCCACCTTAGACGAGCAAGTGAGCATTTCATCAAGTACTGTGCTATAGCAAGACAGAAGACACTGCTGATCTCTCTGCTGTAGAGTTAATTTATCTCCCTCTGTAGTGCACATTATCTTATTACAGTGATTGGTCAATATTGTGCAGGCTGCAGTCAAGTGGAATCGTTTCCCACAAGTGAGCTGAAAAGCAGGTTTCGTAGATCTTATTTTATCAGGCTGAAGCAGGTTAGTGCTTCAGTGTATAGACTCTGTTGCTGGCAGCAGTTGATGTAATTTTTACTACTGAATGGGACAAGAAGAAAAGATTGTTTTAAGTACGTACATTAGAGCATTGAGAATTGGATGTTCTAATGCTCTAAGACCACAAGAAGGTCTTAGACCTTTTTTTACTCTGATTTGTTAAAATAGACACAGAAGTTTTGAAAGTTTTATAGGAAGTCGCTATAGATACCAGATCTGTAAATGAAAAGCATTGATCACTTCTCATCTGTGTGAAATAGCATTGGATAATCTTCGTTTTGTTCTTTGGATGGACTTTATAAAATACATTTTTTTTCAAGCACACATTTAGTTTTAAGTAATCTAAAAAGTAGTTCCCTTAACTCCCCCCCTTTTTTTTTTCAATAACAGAATATTATGAGAATATTCTCACTTTGAATTGCAGAAAACAAATGGTTTTTAATATTGATTTATGCGAATCAGAAAATTGTGATAGCTCCTGTTTTTTTTTTCCAACTAGGACATTTGTCTAATTTTAATGTTTCCTTTTTAAGTTATAATACCAGAACCAAGAAAATTCCCCTTGGCAAATCTGCCTTCTGAAGAAAAGCTCTGTTGGTCTGAGAATTCAAAGACAGCTTCAGGTCTAACAATAAGTGGATTGGGGAATTGTATGTTTTGTACTGGTGATGGTGTTTTTTCGAAAGTTGAAAGGAGGAAAAATTTATATTTCAATTTTCTTTTTTGCCAGATTATTGGGTAGAGTGTTCTTGGCAAGAATGAACTTTGAAATTCTCTACAGTTTAGGAAGAAAAAATACAGAGGTGATGTAGAACTTCAGAATCAAGTTACCCAGGTGGGGTGGTTGTGTTTATTAAAAAAAGATTCTAGGAAAATTGAAAACTTAGTTTGTCTTGTATTAAAAAAAAAAATAGTCTCGTTATCTCTCTCCTTCTTTATTTAATAATGAGGGCTAGTTTCAAGCTACAAGGACAAATACATTTTAGATAATTGGTTTAAAAACAAAACTCTCAGTGATGGCTGGTTTTCGTACAACAGCGGAAAGATAATCGAGGGGAAAGAAAAATGAAATCTTTGAACTTTTGTTTTTTTTTTAAACAAAGTCCCAGTATTTTGTCATTTTAACATTATCTTTAGAGTGATTCAGAGAGACTGCTGACAAAGGAGACTCTATTGTACTGAGGCATTCCCTAAAAGTTGTCAGAATCTCTCACAGACAGCAATATTTTTGTTGCTGGATGCTCTGCTTGAGGGTTTCCTGGAAGTAATTTGGAGACCCATTGATTTTTTTTTTCATAATTAATACAAACTCAACACCGAATACTTGTTTTTCTGAGGCTAAAGTTTGATTTTTATCAATCCTCCTGCTTTAGCCTTCACTTTAACATTGCATTGACTAAAGATTAAGATGTTAGCCAGTTGTATTTGATTGAATGTACCAACTTTAACGTCACTGTTTAGTCGCTTTAGGTTGATGTTAGTCAGGAGCGTAGCCAAGAAAAGTGTGAGCTTTTCTTCCTGTCCCACCCCATCCAAGCACAGAGGTCTGTGCCACAGCAGACTGAGGAGCAGACCTGGCTTAAAATTAACCCAGGCTGTTTTTAATGCTAATTTCAGTCTGGCCGAGTTCCCAGTCCAGCTCACGGTTATTTCAAACGCAGGTTACTGGCATATGGGAGTAGCTTTGGTGGAGGAATGGGAATGAGCAGCTGAGAAAGAGGGAAGCCAGGGCTACCAAATAAAGTGCCACTTTCATCCAAGCACTCGTGGAAACAAGTTTGTCCATGATCGTGGCTGTGCGCAGGCCCAATTTCAGATTGGGCTTAATGCTGTCTTCAGTATCTAGTCTTTCTGTGCAGGCATCTTTTTTTCCCGAAAATGAGATCTTCACTCTGCTTCTGTGGATGGCAGAACCCCATTTTACCAAAAGGTGACACCAAATTTACCACTGTCTTGTAAGCAGTGCAGAGTGGGAGGAGGGGGTGTTATATTGTTTTTGCAGTGACTGCTGATACTCAGGATGTGCAAGAGAATTTTAAGAGAATTTTTAAGCATAAATTTTATTGGGGAGACACACATTGGTTCTCACCTTTTCTCCAAGTATCAGCACTACCTTTCGTAGCAAAACTGGTCGTTGTTTCAAGACTCCGTTTCAATACTTTTCCCCAATTTCAGTTTCTTATTTTCATGCTTAAAAGTAGGCATTCACTGCTAACTTCTATCACAGTAGTCAGATAAGGAACTTGTTTTTCTTCAGCATTATTTTTTCTACTATTATTATTAAGGAAAAGTCAATTAAAAGGCAAGAACCTTTAACCACTCTCTTGCTGGGACAGAACTGTAAATTGCCAAGACTTTGCCGCCCTCAAATAATAGTAGGGCGAGGCTGTTTCTATAAAGCAGTCCATTAAAATGCATTGTAGTTACACTGAGTTAGCAAGAACACCAGTCTTAATATTAGAATGTCTTCACAGAAAAGAAATTTAAGAATGCTCATCAGAAAGCACCTCTGTGAAGACTCACTGCATGCCGCCGGTGCCCGCTCCGTTTGCTGAATCGTAATGCCCGATGCTGAGTGCCAAAGCCAGTGACCCTGCAGGCCTTTGAGCTTGTCTTCAGCTGTCCTGAAGGTGTGCCTGAGTTCAGGCTCATTGGGAAGCTTTCAAGTTCAAAAAGCAGTTGCTTGGTGTGCTTAGAAAGGACTGTAGACATAGATATATTGTGGAGAGTTGCTTTTCCTTTTTATTGTTACATCTGCACTGGAAATCAGAACAACAGAAGGAACTGAACGTGCAGAAGCGCGTTGTCTTTTGGATCTTGGTGGCCGCTGTTTGGTGGCTGAAGGTGTGTGAAATGGAAACGTGAGACTGGCTGAAGGCTGATCTGTTCATCTTTCCTTAAAAGTGTTAGCAAGCAGAAAACGCCCCCATGGATTTAAATTATATTTTTAAGTCCCTTAAGACTAATTTTTATGGATGTGATCGAATGTATTCAGATGTATTTGCTGTGATACTGATGCAGATATTACTGTGAACTTCATGTTTGCAAAATAAACTGAACCGGTGTGGTAGAGTAACTAAATAGGACTCTAATACATCAGGTTTCACTACATAATTTAATAAAAAGACATGTGTTTAGTCTTCATTACGGGGAATTTGTGGTGAGGGCAGTTTTATGTACTTAGGGATTAAAAACGTGCAGAAAAACGAGTAGAAGCATATGTAGAGCACATCTGTGAAGTAGTAATGGACTTGCAAAAATCGTTCAGAGAGGACTAAAGCTAGTTCTGTGGATGACAAGGGTGTCTTATTTTTAATCAGCAGGGCTAACTTCTGCACACGTGCCAATGTGATGTTGTAGCACCAACATAGATTTCTCCCACTATGGCACTGTATTTATTCACATCAAGTTTAAAAAGATGCAGGTTTCTTATCCAATTGAAGTCTAAAGCAGACATTTGAATAGTTCACCATAAATAAAAGAAAGAAAGGTCTTACTCCTACTCTTCCTTCCTGCCATTTTCCCTAGGATGACTCTAAGGCTCGTTAGACTTGCTGCTTACGCAGTGCAGTGTGCTAAGCCAGCAAAAACCTAACCTAGCAAGAAGGAGAGATTTGTGGGGGTGTTTTTGTTTTTTTTTTCTTTTGGGGTAGCAGATTAAAAAAAAATTACTCATTTCAGAGGCATTAACAGTCATCAGAACTGTCACAGAGGAGCTGTGATGGAGCTGGTGAGAGGCAGGAGGCAAAGTGAGATCTCTTACTAGCCTCAAACCAGTGGCAGAGAGATCAGCTTAGCTGCTCACAAAATCACAAGCTGTAGCTTCTAGACTAAATATAGCAGTGACATAAATGTGGGGTAATTACATGCTGAATACAGCTTGCGTGCTACTACACAGAAGTTGTAGTTTGTGTAACTGTTTTGGCTTATAGTAATTTGGGGAAAGCCTATTTGTTTTATAAAGGGTGTATAGAAATTCCTACTAGCAAAATCGACTTGAAAAAAACATAAGGATAGATTCCTTCAGCTTTATGTATTTATTACCTTCATTTCTTCCTATTTAATAAATTTTAGTTGTTCTGTGAATTAGTTGAATGGCAGATCAGCAACAGCTCCCACTATTTGACTGCACACGTGTACTCACAAATATATTTGCATTTATATTCTTATTCTGTAAATAGAATGATTTTTAAGCTTGTTTTTCAAAAGTCTGTATCCAGTGGCAGTAATGACCATGTAAGTTCTTTAAGAGTTGCAGTTGTTATATTGAACTTAAATAGTTGGGCTGTTAGCAGGAGGAGTGAGTCAACAGTGAGTTTAAATGCCCACAAAGTGCTTGTGGGTAGTTCGTTAAAATGAGCTTTTATCAATATTTTTAACAGCATTTCCATCCTGATGTTCTTCCAAAGCAAACTGGTTACACGTCTTTGAGGGAAGGATTAACTTATTAATGGAAACAGTAATCAGCAGTGTCAAAAATATGATGCCCAGTGTTTGTAAAGAGTGCTGGATATTAATGACCTTTTTGTTTTGTTGTTTAGATTCAGCAATTGGAGGTGCTGCTGCTTCAAATTATGCAAATTCCACTTGGGGTCCTGGAGCCTCCTCCAACAGCGGCACCAACGCCAACCCAACTCACATCTGGGACAAGGTGATTGTAGACGGGTCTGACATGGAAGAGTGGCCTTGTATTGCCAGCAAAGATGCTGAGTCTTCTTCCGAAAACACCACCGATAACAACAGTGCCTCGAACCCTGGCTTGGAGAAGAACACTCTGCCAGGAAGCACCACTAGTAACAAAGGAAAAGGAAGCCAGTGCCAGTCTGGAAGCGCTGGAAACGAATGTAATCTTGGGGCCTGGAAATCTGATTCCAAGGCTAAATCTGTTCAATCTTCCAACCCTGCTGCCGAGAGTAACAATGGACTAGGAAATTGGAGGAACTTGAGTGGACAAGATAGAATTGGCCCTGGTTCTGGCTTCAGCAACTTTAACCCAAATAGCAACCCGTCTGCTTGGCCGGCACTGGTTCAAGAGGGCAGTTCTAGGAAAGGGACTTTGGAATCTGATAGTGGTAGCTCCAATGCACAGATTAGCACAGTAGGTCAGACCTCTAGGGAACAGCAGTCAAAGATGGAAAATGCGGGTGTTAACTTTGTCTCTGGCAGAGAACAGGCTCAAATTCATAACACTGATGGACCAAAAAATGGAAACACTAACTCCTTGAACTTAAGTTCACCAAACCCTATGGAGAATAAGGGAATGCCCTTTGAAATGGGCTTGGGGAACCCTTCCAGGAGCACTGACACCCCTTCACAAAGCACTGGAGAAAGAAAGACTGGGAGTGTTGGGTCTTGGGGTACAGCTAGGGGGTCTTCTGGAACTGACACAGTCTCTGGACAGAGCAATTCTGGAAACCACGGGAACAATGGAAAGGATAGAGAGGACTCCTGGAAAGGAGCTTCTGTTCAAAAACCGAATGGGTCAAGAAGTGATTCTTGGGATAACAATAACCGGTCTACGGGTGGTGGGTCTTGGAACTTTGGCCCTCAGCATGCAAATGAAAGCAAATGGGGTGAAGGGAACAAATTGACATCTGGGGTCTCTCAGGGAGAATGGAAACAGCTGTCTGGGTCTGATGAACTGAAGATTGGAGAATGGAGTGGTCCAAACCAACCAAATTCTAGCACTGGAGCATGGGACAATCAAAAAGGCCACCCTCTTCCTGAAAACCAAGGCAACTCCCAGGCTCCCTGTTGGGGAAGATCTTCCAGCTCTGCGGGAAGTGAGGTTGGAGGTCAAAGCACTGGAAGCAACCACAAAGCAGGAAGCAGCGACAGTCACAATTCTGGACGCCGATCGTATAGGCCTACGCATCCGGATTGCCAGGCAGTCTTGCAGACTCTGCTGAGCAGGACTGATTTGGACCCCCGAGTGCTTTCAAACACCGGTTGGGGCCAAACTCAAATTAAGCAAGACACCGTGTGGGATATTGAAGAGATGCCTCGGCCCGAGGGGAAGTCTGATAAAGGAACTGAGGGGTGGGAGAGCTCTGCCACACAGACAAAGAACTCAGGGGGCTGGGGCGATGTACCCAGCCAAAGCAATCAAATCAAGTCTGGATGGGGTGAGCTCTCAACCCCAACAGAGTGGAAGGACCCCAAAAATACTGGAGGATGGAATGACTATAAGAACCCCAATTCTTCTAATTGGGGAGGGGGAAGACCGGAAGAAAAATCATCTTCCTCTTGGAATGAGAGCTCTAGTAAGGAACAGGGGTGGGGTGGACGGCAACCTAATCAAGGATGGTCTTCTGGAAAGAACGGTTGGGGAGAGGAAGTTGACCAAACTAAAAACAGTAACTGGGAAAGCGCAGGAAACAAGCCAGCATCTGGTTGGGGTGAAGGTGGGCAAAATGAGATTGGAACTTGGGGTAATGGTGCAAATGCAAGCGCTGCTTCAAAGGGTGGGTGGGATGATTGTAAAAGAACTTCAACGTGGAATGAGACGGGTCGACAGCCCAACTCCTGGAACAAGCAGCAGCAACAGCACCAGCAGCAACAGCAGGAGGCTTCTGGCTCCTGGGGTCCACCGCCACCAACCCCAAGTAACGGGCGACCTCCAAACCCAAACTGGAACAGCGGACCACAGCCAGCGGCCCCCAAAGAGGAGGAGCCTAGTGGCTGGGAAGAACCTTCTCCACAGTCAATCAGTCGGAAAATGGATATCGACGATGGCACTTCAGCGTGGGGAGATCCTAGCAGTTACAACTACAAGAATGTGAACCTGTGGGACAAGAACTCGCAAGGAGGACAGGCCCCACGGGAACAGAGCCTGCCTACTCCGATGACTAGCAAATCACAAGCATCAGGTACCTGTCTCCTTCCTTTCTTCAGCAGTGCAAGTAACCCTTATATGTGAGGGATGCACATGCAGATTTGAGTTCCTTAATAGTTTTATTTCATAAAGAAAATCAAATTTCTTATTTGAATATTTGGTTCTGTATTGAAGGATTTAAAATATGGACCAGTCAATCCTCTGCTTATTGTGCCTCAGGAGCTCGCACTGCTCAGCTTGCCAGTAAGAGAAAATGTTTATTAGCTTGCAAATCTGCATATTCAATCTGAGCTCTGAAAGGACAGACTGAGTTCTCACAGATATTTTATATTCAATGACTAAAAAAGATGAGGGGAAATTTCTTTACTAATTTGCTATCAACAGATTCTTGCTCTGAGGCGAGCTCAGTTAATACTTGAAATTGAATGAGTCAAATCTAGTTTATTAGCTCAATTTGGCTTTGCCATAGCATGAAGAATGCTTAGCAAAATATTTCCTCCTTTGAAATAAGAACAAGAAAACTTTCATACCCTGGAAATAAAATAAGATGTCATTATGTAATTTCTCTTCTGATTCAGACATGCTTTAAAGAATACCATTTTGTTTTAATGCGTACTTCAAATACATTCTTATTCTTTCCCAGTTTATGGAAACCCAGAATAGTCTGATGCTTATAACTAGTCCCCAAAGCTCACCAAAGAGAGTTGCATTAGATGCAGGCTTCACGCTTAACCAAAAAAAAAACAATCTTCCTGGTTATAGTGTCCTCTGTCCTGGAGTTCACTGCCCACTCTGTGTGGTGTGGCCTGTTGTCCATTCTGTTTAGCCCAAGCTGCTGAGAATCCGAGGTCCTCAACAGAGAGCGAATGAAGTGCTAATTTAATGACGTGGTGCTGCATGGTAGTGAACGGTTCATTTTGTGAACAGTCTGTAATGAAAACTCTCTCTCCTTTGCGCAGTCTGGAGCAAAAGCACTCCGCCTGCTCCAGATAACGGTACGTCCGCCTGGGGTGAGCCAAATGAAACCAGTCCCGGGTGGGGTGAAGTAGATGATACGGGAGCATCGACAACAGGCTGGGGGAATGCACCTTCCAACGCCCCGAATGCCATGAAACCTAGTGAGTATAGGCCAGATACCAGTTTCTTTGCAATGGTCCTGGAGATTTTTAGTATTTGGCTTTTTAATGTAGGTCACTCACGGAGGAATTGTTATCCAAGGCCTAGAAGCAACTTGGGATGTCATGTGAGATTTTGGGAATGAGCAATTAACTGCTTGCAGATAACAGGAACCTTGTTTTTAAGGTGTTCTTTAGTAAGCTGTTAAATGGACAGCTCTGATTCTTGCAGGTGTTGAAACATTGGAGAATTTAAGTGAGGAAATATTTTTATTTCTCAAAACTCTTTGCTTCTCTGACTGCACACCTGTTAGAGTATAAATTTGTTACATTATAAATTATCTTTTCTGATGACGTCAGAAAAAGGAACGCTCAATTTACAGACAAATTTCACGCTGGAGGCCGTTGCATAGTAATTTGTGCTTTATTGGTAATAAAACTTGACTTCGAAAGCTACAGCGAAATAGTCAGACCTTTTTGTCATAAGGTGTAAAAAAAATTGTAACTCTTTAGTGGAAATTAACTTTCTTGCGTGTGTTTGAACTTAGATGGCTGAATATTTTCCAGATATTGCCTGACCGCAGCTGTATTCTCCATGAATGAGATCCTGTTGAACTTTTTTTTAAAAAAAAAAAACTTGGAGGTTAGAGTGTTACTGCAATTGGTTTCATGTTTATGGAAATCATTTCTGCTGTGAAAGCAGCTGCTGTAGAATTCCTCTTTCCTTGTACTTAAGGAAAGTGCAACAAACAAAACCAGTCACCTGCCGGTACAACATAGCACCGTCAAAGCCGATTAACGCATGGATATGAACTTTCTAATGGGAAATATTGATCAGGAACAGCTGTTAGTGCACTTGACTGGTAACACTGACTATAAAAACTCTTTCCAGTTATAAGTTACTTCTGTAACACTGAATTTTTTGGGCTGAAATGTTCTATACTGATTGTATGCTGATGTCTTCTGATCCTGCACCCGTACATGGGCTAGTGTCCTTGTCTATTTACGAAACAAAATACATAGTGTGTTGCTTCCTTAGTGTTAACGCCACCACTTTTGTGGGGATGAGTCTAGTGCGTTTTGTGCCTTTCACACAATCTTGGTATTTTTCAGGATGATAGGTTTTTTCTAGATGTGTGTGTGTACATATATATATTTACTCTATAAAAATCCATGTAGATATAACCAAAATAAGAGCCTCTGAAATAATAATGATCCATTGCAAGTTGTACAGACTTGCTAATCTGGTTAAGGTAATGATGTCACTTGACTGTCCTAACCAGACTGTGTGTGTGATGTAACCGCAGAGCTGCAGGATCTGCCTTGTCCCCTGGTGGCATGTGCGCTGTTTTGTACGTAAGCTGTCCTCTGCTCCAGAGGAGTGAATCAGGTGTTTCCCTTCCGTGGTAGTTATAGGCTGGGGTGCAGTAAATCACCAGAGCTGGGAACCTTGTTCTCTTGTGCCTGCTCGCTCAAACCCTTTCTAACTGGCATCCAGACAGCACATTATTCAGTGGAGTAAGGGGAGCTAGCAGGAGAAACTGGGACAAAAAGACTGCAAAGATATAATACAGAGCTGAAAGTAAGGAGAAGGAAAAGAGAGTAGCACTATTTGGAAAAGAAGATAAGGGAAGTTGGACATAGGTGTCCCTGCTTGAGCAGGAGGGTTGGACTAAATGATCTCTAGAGGTCCCTTCCAACCTCAACCATTCTGTGATTCTGTGAAGCGAGACAAAAAAAAATCTGTTAACGACGTTTTCTGTGTGATGAGGAGGTAGCACAGGTGAGAATCCTGAGACCAAGCCAAAAACATAGAGCCTAGAGGTCATCGAGATTGGGAATGTCCCTGGTGGAGTCCTGGACTCAGTAAAAGGAGCTAGAGGTGATGAAACCTGAGGCAGGATGAAAACTACCAGGCAGAAGAGAGAGGGCTCAGTTGCACTTCTTAGAGAGTGATCTGTTCATAGCCTTGGAAGGATGGATCAAGGTGGGAATCCTGCTGTTAATGCTGGTGGAAGCCATGGGCATAATATCCTGTCCCTTCTGTAATGCTGGCAAACACAGGTGCAAAATAATTCTGTCATTACTTGTAATGACATTTCTGCAGGAAGTATGAACAAACCGCCTTTACTTCGGCATCTCAAGTCTGAGAGGCATCCTGCAGGAAAATGCTGTATGGTCATGCAATTAAAACCAGGATCATAAAATTATATTTAAACATTGTGGTCGGAAGTAAATAGAAGTTGCATGGACTACCCTTGATTAAGGGTAGTCCAGATTAAGCTCTTGACTCTGCAGCTGCAATCCTTAAGTGCAGCCTTTTTGTCCAAGTAGTGCAATTAAAGGACCAAGAGGTAGATTTTTGTGTCCAGAGCTGTGTGTTTCCTAAGCAGCCCTGAGCTTTTGAACACAATTGAGTACCTTTATAAAAGTTACATTTCTTGTAAAATACCTGAGTTGTTATTCGTGATGAATTTTAAGGTATCTCTTAAACTACCATGAAACACTTTCAACACAACAGAGGTACTGTTTCTCCTGTTAGAATAATTACATTTCCTGACTTCCTTTATATTCCTTTTTTTTCTGCCTGGAGTGTGTTATTATCCTTACCTCTGGCTTCTAAGTTCAGACCCCAGACTAAGTTGTTTAAGTTGTTAGTTGGGTTTAGTTACTTAGTTTAGTTTTAGTTAGGAGAAAGGTGGCAATGATAGAAATGCTTTTTGGAGAATATAAATATTTGAAGCGGAAATATGAAGCATGAGGAGTTATAGCAAGAAGAACAGTTTAGGAGTTGGCAAGATGGATATTTGAGTACATGTTGTCTTGTCAGTAGAGGTTAAAAATGTAAATCGCCAGACAGCTGGCATTAGGGACCATAACAGCAAGAGGAGAAGCCAACACAGAAACAAAATCCTTAGTCTGAGTTTATATGATGAGATGGTTGTAGCTTTCTGGTAATGGTATCTGTGTTTAAACAGCAATGCTAATATGCCTTACAAACAGCAATGCTAATGTATACCTTTCTAGTGGCATGGTTGAGAGCAGAAGTTCAGAGGGGTTTGCATGTTAAGCTACTTCTGGTGCCACATGAAGTGTGGAGCAGTGTCAAGTCCTTTCTTCCAGAATCTGCTCGATTGTAAAAACAAAGAATCTTTGGGGATTTACGATTTCATGGAAGAGTTTAGTGTTACATAAAGATACAGTCGTTATAAAGCACTGTGTAATGTTTCAGTTACAGCATCATTTCAGCACTTTTTTTTTTTCTCTAAGCAATGAGTGAGTTCTTAGAGTAGACGCATTGTAGAATCATAGAATGCTTAAGGTTGGAAGGGACCTCTAGAGGTCGTCTAGTCCAACCCCCCTGCACATGCATCTAGTGTCATTAGATTAGTGTCACTCTGCAAGTAGTGTTACCAACTATTCCTGAAAGTCAGCAGTAGTAATTTCCAGAAAGAAACATAAAGAGGGGTTGGAGAAACAGTAATTTGTCTTGGTTTTCTGTATGTGCACTGGAAGTATTAGGGTTTTGAAGGAAGCTGCTTGAACCGAAGTCCTCAGCACCCTCCTTGTTTTTCAGGTGTCTTTGGACACATGAGAAGTTAATAGGTTGCTTTTTAAAGGAATCCAAGAGTAGCTGCATCTGTGTAAGAGAATAAGTTGCTATGGATAATGTATCTTCAAGGACAACATGGCCTTATGTTGCTTAAATATTATGGCAAAATACTGCATGCTAATATGCCACCAAATCTCTTGGATTTGGGGGTACGTGTGGAAGTTTTTACAGCTTGTTATAAAGGTGACACTTTTTTGGAACTCGGTTAGAGTGCTGAGGTGCAATGTGCAATGAAACATAAAAATAATGTGTGTGGCATTGTGAACTGAGGGCTGCTTTTGAGCTTTTTTTCCTGCTTTTCTGAAAGGTTCTAAATCTATGCAAGATGGCTGGGGAGAGAGTGATGGGCCAGTGACAGGAACGCGTCATTCCAGCTGGGAAGAGGAGGAGGAGGGAGGAGTCTGGAACACAGCAGGCTCTCAGGGAAGCAGTTCCTCCCACAACTCAACAAGCTGGGCGCAAGGAGGAAAGAAAGCGCAAATTAAGGTAAAACACTTGAATGACTCATAACAACTGTGTTGTCTGAAAGCAATATGACTGATATGTTGGAGCGTTGTAATAATTCTCATCTAAACGGTGCTGCAGAACTCCACTCTAGAGGTACCTGTTGCAGTGTTGTGAAAAACATAAGCTTTCTGGATTTGTTTAAAGTGTTATGCCTATTGTGACTAATAAACCTGCCAGCAGGTGACAAATTCTTCTGGCATGTAGACTGCAGCGCGGTTACCAAATGGAACCGAGCAATAAGTATCCCAAGGCTATCGCTCCTCTCCCGCTGACACATCTTTCAGCCTCAGGCTGCTGCTCTTCTCCCTGCACGGCAGCCTGCTGGAGTTGAGCTTTCCGGTTCCTTTTGGCTCCCATCCGCTTTGTTTTTACTGTCTGCTGGGTTTGGGTCTGACTTTCATGTTTGTTGTTGTTGACCCTTGGCCTCAAACAGGAGCAGGAGTTTGGCAGTAGCCCTGAATGAGCTGCTCTGCAAAGCCTGTTCGCGTCACAGTGCTCCAGGATGGTAACGTTTGATATTACATAAATATCACAGAGACTCTCCTTTGGCTGCTCCTCCACAGTACAAACTTGGGAGGCAAGTACAGAGCACTTTTCAAGGGCACAAAAGTAGTGTTGTGACCTGGTATAGAGTTTTATCGTTTCTGTCATGCAAAAACGTTTCCTGTGAACTTTTTTTTTCTCTCGTTTGGAGTTTTGTTTGATCCACAGAAGCAATAGCTTGGATGAATTTCCTATCAGATCTTTTCTGTTGAAATCCTTTCTGGTTTGCTTTTGAACATTTGTAAATCACAGTAAGGGCAAATTGAAAGCCAGGTGTGCACAGCGCAAGTTTGAAAGCATCACGCTAAAGGGAAGAAAGCTAAGGAGAGACTTCTGTATGTGACAGGTTAAAGAATGTATTAAACTGTACTGAACTGCTTCCCAAGTTGCAGAATGAAACTGAAGGTTTGATGAACTTGCTACGCAACAGGTATCGACCCGTTGCAGGATGCCAACGAACAATCATATGAGAAAGCTCTATGTTGTAAAGGTTTCCCACCATGGAAAAAACAAGTAATTTGTTCAGGAGATAAATTTTTGTGGTACTTGTGTTTTCAGCTGATACCGCTGCATTCCAGGGCCCAAGTAGAATTTGAAAAAGGAAAAAATACTTAGAAAAAAAAATCTTTTTTTTTTTTTTCTTTAGTGCTCATTAAAAGGAGGAAACAGTGATTCATGGATGAACCCTTTATCCAAGCAGTTTTCAAATATGGGATTGCTAGTAAGTGATTTTTTTTCTTTTATTTTTAATACAAATCCAGCTCCAACTTTGCAGAAGGATCAACCACTTTGCAGTGTTTAACTATTGTGCTGCTTATCTCTGTTTGCTTTGTTGATACATGAATTGTAATATCTAAAAATATTTGGATCTTCGGAACTCCCTTGTTGGTCAGAAAATTTTCTCAAGAAACAAGATCTAGTTTGATTTTTAAAGTTACAATGCAAACAATTGCGCTTTTTTTTATTTTTACTTCTACCCTCTTTCTCTTCTTAAAGTGATTTTTGGAGCACTAGTCTCCTGGCTGCTCTGCGATGTCTGTGACTTGCCCAAGGCTCTCCATGTCTATTTTGAGTTTCAGTTACCTATCAGTAAAGGAGAGTTATAGCCCTGTGTCTTGTCTGCTTATATTTTAAATGTTGTGCTGTGGGGCCTTTTTTAGAATGAAAGGGACCTGCTATTAATTGAAACTCCAGGCTTTATTGGTAAGCTGAATAAGTAAATGGCATATCACTGAGAGGAAAAGGTGATCTGCAAGGCAGTCCCTTAAAGATATTTCTGTATAAAAGCAAGGATTTCTGAAATGCCAGGAAAAATATGTTTTTTTTCAAAATGCTACACCAACCCTAATCCTGTAGAGCAGGAGTTAGTTAACATGTAACACAGGCTAGCAAAAAATAGTAATGCAGAGGTTCTGTAAAGGGACCTAAGGCCAGACAAACTGTCACCAACATGGCTAGGATTAGTTTCTAGTGGCTGTTGGCTGACTGGCTCAAGTTCAGTGTGCCTAGACCATGGATGCTTCTGAAAGCTATGGGAACACCCTGTCCTAGACTGCCAACTGAAGAATAACTTGGCAGCCTGTTCCAAGATTTGATGACTTGACGGGTCATGAGGATGAGCTGTCATCTGGGCCGCTATTTTCAGTGTTTCATCCCTTGACCATTGGAACATGAGGACAGAGGTTCATGTCACAGAGCAGCTGTCTGCCCATTTTTCTCTGTCTGTTGCATGACTCCACATATCCAGTTGTATTTCAGTAAATTTGCTACTTACAGTTTTAGGGTGAAGTTTGTCTAGGGTGAAGTCAGGGCTCTTATTTGATCTAGTTTAGAATGATGGCACAAGCATGTCCTTCCGTTATTCTACATTTGACTTCAAGAGCTGTTTTCTGAAACACTCCTCAGCATTGCACAGAAGTCAGAACTGATTTTTTTTTTCTTTCTTTCAGAGTCAAACTGAGGACATTCCAGGCAGTAAGATGGACTTGTCTGTAGGTGCGTGCAATTTAATTTAAATGCATTTCACGTATGAGACCATGTATTGGAGCACTCATTGTAGATGGAGTACTGTGCTTTGGAAAGGCTTGATCCTTATTTTTTTTGGTACTACTCATAAAAGCAGAAAAGCCTTTGCTGCAAACTTTGAAAAGATATGTAGTTGATGCTGGTATAGAAGACTGGGGGTATACCTGAGTGAACTGGGGGTACCTGGGAAGAAACATCCTCTGAGACCATTTTGAATCCATGTAGTTAGTATCCATCCCTTCTCTTTCAGAGAAGTGAGGGTCTGTTTTTGAAGTGGTGGGAAGAGAAAAACTGTTCTAAGTAGCTGGTAGGGCATCTGATTACCACAATATCCTGGGGATGAAGCTTGCCTCAGCCTAGTACAAGTTACTGCTTGGTAGGGCTACGTGCTTCACTTTTGATAGCCTCACCACAAACAGTGCAGAGCTTTAGTGTAATGGATGGCGTGGAAAGGCTCCTAAAGAAAGTTGGAAGTGACCACTTGGATTATCCGGTCTAGTTTCCTCTCTGTGTTGCCAGGTCCCTTTTAGTCACCTGTCAATTTGCCGTAACTTCTTTGGCAAACCTTCTGCCTCTGTTAGAGAAATATGTTTTTGATCTTGAAATGAAACCTAGTTTTGCATTCCGTTCTTCTCCAAACTTTCTCTGAATATTCTCTCTTGCTATATTGAGATAGAAATACTACAAAATTTTGAAATCTTCTGCCAACTGAGCTACTTCTTTCCCTGCAAGATCCCAAAGGTATATATTAAAAAAGCGATGATCCATTATCTGCTCTTCAGATCAGATTTCTTATTTATTTTTATTCCCCTGAAAATGCAGTCAGCCTAACTGTACAGTATAGTCTTTGATACTTGCAAAGAGGATGGGGCTTTTCTTCCTATTGCTACGAAGAGAGTCTCAGAGGCAACTGATAGAATCAGCACTTATTCTGGTGGTGGTAGTGTGGGCACTTCTAAACATTTCTGTGTTCCCCATCGAGTTAATTGCTGATGATCTTATGTTGTCATGTAGGAAGAACCAACTGAAACAGTTCTGGTGACCTGTGCAATCTGCCTGCGTCCATCCCAACTGGTGTTTTCAGGCCAAGATCAGTTAGTTTCAAAATTGGTGTCAAAATTGGTCCTGTCTTTTGATAAGTTAGAACAGTAGTAGGGTCTTAAGATGCAAGTTTGCTGTAGCCAACACGAGGAACTGAACCCCTTTACTTCTGAGGTGTAACCTGCCTAAGAAGTCATGGTGTTTGGATTCGACTGACCATATGCTATCTAGTTCACTTGAGCTGTTTCGAGTCTACATATTCACAGGTTTATTGTGGAAAAATTCAAATTATTGGTAAATAACTTTTATCTCATGACTGTCCTTCACTGTGCAGTTAGTTTAGTTGGAATAAACAAGTCCAATTCTGTGAGCGAGTGCAAGTACATCTAGATAACCTGTCTGCCTTTACTTTCACTATCATTGAGACAGTTACTTTAAAACAAAATGCAGGTCACTCCCTTAAACATGCTTGGTGTATGTGTTCTTAACATGATGAACAAGATAACTAGTATGGTCAGCTTGTATTGGAATTCGAAATCTTCATGTTGAACTTTTGTATTTTTACACAAATACTTTCGTATTTGTACAGCAACTTGTACAGCAACTCCTGTTGCTGCAGTTCACTCAGATACCGAGTGACCTTGATGATATAGTTCAGCTTTCTGAAGAGAGACCTTTCATATAACATTCTTTGAAATAGCTCTGTGTGTAGGTCTGTTATGTTGCCAGCTGTGTTTAGAGACACTGAAGACTGCGTATTTCCTTGGGCTGTGTTACCAAACTGGAACCTAGTCTGCGGTAGTAGTGAAAAAATTAGACAGTACAAGTTCATGTCCTGCAAATGCAAGCAACATGAACCATAGTTAGTAATTTTTTATTTGAGTACTAGATTTTTAGGGACTGCAGGAAGCAGTTGTTTAACAATTGTGCTGTAATTGCTGTTTCTGTGGCAATCTGCTTCAGCCATGCATCATTCATGGCTTTTCTAGTACTGTTAGTTGAATCATCTCAATATTGCACTCTTTTTAAAAAAAAAAAAAAAAAAAAGGCAATGGCAAAAATCTACTCAGTGTTGTCCGTATTTTGCTGTATCACTCCTAATGGGTAGCGGTTCACTTTTCCCAAACTTGCTTTCTTTCTCTAAAATAGTTAAGGATGCCAGTGAGATGTAAAAGCATACCTTTCTATAGTACAGCATAGTTTTGGGGAAGGTATCAGTATTTTCAGATCTCTCCGACTTGGACTCATAGAGCCTCTCTAGAATTTAGACTCTGCTCATGTCACGTCTCTAAAGGTCCTTTAGGTAGAGGTAAATCTCATTTTTGGAGGTTCAGTTGTCATCTGTGTTCCGACACTGCTACTAATAAGAATAAAACAACTGATGAGGATGGTAGTTTGGATTATATGGATTATAGGACTCTCAGTTCTTTATCTCTGAGTGAAGCTTTTGAATCCTTTAGGCCTTTCTGCTCCAGAGGGCTTAAGGCTGCTAGACCTTCTGGAGAAAGATGGCTGACACTCAGAAGACCCTGTGAAGTGGTGCTGTGCAAGGCTGCATGAATTGTTTTGATATGCTGTTCTTCCATTCCCTTTAATGGGGACATCCTTGATTCTGTATAGAGATGCTTATTATCTTTATTCCATTTAAGAAATGCAAGAACACAACTGGGATAGTCCTAAGACTTTTCAGTTATTTTCTCTACTTGAAGGTTGTGGTCTTTTTTGCTTTTGGCTTCTGCTTATGAAAGCTTTAAGGTGTTTGTTAAGCCTATATCTACTTTTAAACCCCCAAAGTTGTATTTACCTGCAAAGTAGGTCCTCCAGCTGATTAGAATTACGCCGTATGAGACTTTGCTGACCAAGTAACTCCAATGTGATATTTTTTCAATGCACATTGATTTTTCAAGTTAAATCTATATTTAGAGACCATGCAAATCAAAGAAGATGCGTGCTTTGGTGTACATAGAGCACCCTGTTCCAGTCATCCCAAAAGAGGTCCAGTTGGCAACAACTAATTCTTACTGTGTTGGTCTCAGGCTCTTTGCTCAAAAACATTCATGGTGCTTTTATTGCAAGGCAACAGTTTTATTTCCTGACCAAGAGGAGAAAGCAACTGGATCAATAGCATGCCAGAGAAAGGAGGTCTGCTTCCTGTATTTACCAAATCCTTTTAGCCTCTAGCTTGTTTTACTATGAAAATAGGATACATCCTTTATTATCTTTTTTTCTCTCTATCTCTCAAATGAAAACTCTTTCAATATATAAGTCCTGAGGCACAAAGTCTGATAAAACAATAAGTAGTCTGTCAGGACCACTTCATATTTCACAACCATTTTCTTCACTGTTTGACAACCATCTTTGTTTTTTAATGTATTAGCTGCAACTTCTGCAGATGACTGAATTCACAAAGTCATCCATAAGGACTGGGAAATTACTTTCCAAATTTTATTGATTCAAGTGTAATTCATATTGCTGCCTGTTACAGATTCATTACAAAGTCATAATCTCATTTAGCATTCAGATGCAACATCTCAATGTCTAAGCTCATATGGCTGATGTAACTTTATGACAAATGTACAAAAAAACCCATACATTTAACACATCTTAGTTCTATGGCCAGGCAGAAAACATTTGAAGTGTTCCTGTTTATTCTGCCCTTTTTTTTGTTTTGCCGTAGTTCTCATGGTTGTTAGTAGTGGAGGGAAAAAATCAAGAACTGATCATCATCTCTTACAAAGACAGTTGCTCTTTTAACCTGTTCTACGTCTCTGCATGTAGAGGGCTCAAGTTGTCATTGCACTTATTCATACGCAAATGTTCTTGTCCACTGCAGAGCGCAGATCCAAACGGTGGTGGTTTTAACAGACTCTTTGTATTATGTAAGATAAAGTTAGTCTTCACACCACCTTCATCTGAGGCTTTTTTAGCAAGTCCAGAAGACAGACTGCACAATGACTTTTCTGGGTTGCCTTCGAATTTTCTGTGAGGGGAATAAAAGAATGTTATCATGTCTCTTTGTAAAAAGCCCCGCTGTATGGAAGTATAAGCAGCTGCCTCCGCTCCAAGTGGTCTATCTGCTCTTGAAGCCTCTAAAGGTGATATTTAAAGCTTCGTGTATAACTTAACAAGCCATTTTAAAGACATCATTCAGTAGTGTCTGAGGAGTCAGTTGGATCATTGGGATAACTAAAGAGAGAAAAGGATATTTCTGGTGCTTAGTCATTGTGTCTTGGCACTGACCCAGTTTCCTTTGAAATGGTGATGCAATTTTTTCTCCCTTTTGCTTTCTTTTCAAGCTACTGAAAGACAAGTCTGCCAGTCTAAAATTAAAGTGGACAACCCTTTCGGTAGAGCATTGTTGGCGTTGTGTGTAGTGGTTTGATGTAAATATTGCAGCGTATAATGGTTAGATGTAGGACTGAGACCTGTTGGGTAGTTTGTGTGAGGGATTTTGCAGAGCCTGTTCTAGCTTGTTGGAGCGAGTTGAGCACATCCAGGTATGACTCCAGTCAGGTACAAACCAAGATATGTGGGTGATCTGTCCATGTTTTTGTGATTAAGAGTTTTGAAGGCATCTGAGAGGATAAAGCTGGATCAACTTTACGTACATATATATATACGCACACACACACACAGATATATGTATATACATAGACACACACGCACATATATATAAAACGTGTATATATATATACACACACACTTTTGATACATATACACATTTAATGTTTGGTTGTTTGATTTCATAGGACCATAGCAATAACTTAAGGTGTAACTGCAGGTGGTTCATGATTGGACATTAACAAGAGAAGCTGGATTTGAGAAGTTTTTTCTGAGAAAATCGGTGTTTTGGAGGTTCTGGAATGATGAGTTGTCTGCTGTATTTGATGAAGATTTTAATGATTTGTCAACAGTAGGGTAGCATACCTGTCACCAACTAGTTTTACTGCAAGACTTGTAGGTCTTGGTTACAGATTGTGACATGTTTTCCATGCCATTTTTGGACTGGCCGTCTATGCTACTAGATCCAGTTATATATTTATATTTTGAGAAATAAATCAAGCTGACTTCTACCATGTGGTTCTTACGTTGAAATGAAGGTGTCCCCATCTAGTTCACTACAACAAGGTACATCTCTGCTATCTTATAACAGCCACATCTTGCAAAGCAGTTGTTTCTTGGCAGCAGTTCAGCATGTAAGGTATAAAATTTCCTCAGTCAGGACTTCATTGATGATATGCTTACAAAGAAAGTTGATTTCCCCTGCAGAGTCTCTTACTAACATTTGCACTTCATGTTTCACCAGCTTTCTTGTTGAACAGGGTTAGGCAATTATGTGGGCTATTTGAAAAGGGTCTCCGTTGTTGTATAATCATTATTTATAGTCCGAGGGAAAAAAATCAGTTCCTTGCTGGATGGAAATGTTGCTATTAAATCTGCTGGTGTTCAAGAGTTGGGGTCACCTGACTGGGATAGTGGTGATCAACTGTGTGTCGTTTTGTACCTCAAGGAATTATTTCTTAATGCCAAACCTAGTAAAGGCTAAGTCCCATGTGTAGGGGACTTAAATAATGGTCTCCCTATAATAGTGAAGTTTTGGAAGGCATCAAGAATTCAGCATGAATGACTCTCAGTAGTTAAACAAGGCTGTTGTAGAAATGCATATTTTTATATTTAAACATAAGTTGTGATGAATACTTTTATGTATTAGTTTTCTAAAGTAAATTGGCTTGTTCAGCCTTCAGAAATGAAAATTCCTGTTCTACCCTTTCAGCATCTGCAGCTATGCTAAGTAGTAAGCAAAATCTAATATATACCCTGATCTTACAAATGTTTTTTTCTGGCTCCAAACCTGCTGGCATGGAAGATGGTAGCAGTGATCAGCACTAACTTAACCTTCTTTTCTGTTTTTTTTGCAGGTGGTCTCCCGGATAAGAAGTTTGATGTAGATAAACGAGCCATGAATCTGGGAGATTTTAATGACATAATGAGAAAGGATCGATCTGGGTTCCGTCCACCTAATTCCAAAGACATGGGAACCACAGATAGTGGGCCTTATTTTGAGAAGGTGAGAGAAATACCTTCATGAAAATGAAAATCAACCTCTGCACTCAAACTCTCAGCTTTTAGCAGACTCCTCTGCAAATGCTAAAAATGCAATAACTTTGAATAAATTCAACAATCAAGGGAGGTGGGGTTTATATTTGCAGAATGAATGTATGTGAAACAGAGCTGTCAAATGCACATAGGTGAATTGGAATATCTGGAGAGAATAAGGCTTTTCATATTAGAGAAATCTGCTCTGGAATAAAGAGGTTGAAATTCCTTTCCCTTCCTTGGAAATGTAAACAGTAAAAACAAAATCTAGAATGGGGCCATCGTAATAGTCCTTATGGCTACTGATTACAATCAGCTACTCTGAAAATTGGTTTAGATCTAAATAAACATATGTAATCACAGTCTTCCAAGCTTTTTCTGCTTTCATGTCTGTGATTTTATTGGAAGCGCCTTTTCTAAATTCTGCAACTCCCTATGCTGTATGTCCATGTACTGTTAGCTTCTGTATGACATCTGTTTCTCTGTGACATTTGTTGTATGTTATGGTAGCATCTCCTTCATATTCTTGCTATTTAAGTAGAAGTTTTTCTGACTACTATCAGATATCAGTTGCTTCACATTATGAATTGGAGAGTGCATTAATACTTTCAGAATGTTGGGGGTCTTTTCTAATATAATTTAAATGCCTTACATTAAAACAAACAAAAAACTTATAAATTCTGAATACATGGTATCTTCAATAAGCTAAAACTTCAATAAGGTGCCTTTTTTTTTTTTTTGTACCTTTTAACTCCTCCATTTTGGTATAACAGACCAAAAACAGTTTTGTGAACTCCCTCTGCTGGTTTAATGAGTACGTACTACTAGCAGAGCTGATGCACTCTTAATATGTATTATGTTGGTAGGTGCATGCAAACAATAGGAACTCACTCAATATTTGGTTGTTTCTGCAGTAGTAATAACCACTGTCAGAAATGAACATTATTAGTGAAACAAACTTTTCAAAATCTTGTATTTTTAAGAAGAAACAATCTCCTTGGACCAAAATCTTAAGAAGCCTAACTGTCAAGTGATTGATCGAGTCGGGCGTTTTGTCCTTGTAATTGCTATTACAAGTTAACTTTGCTTATTCCTAGTCACTCACCGTCCCTCTTTCTCTCCTCTTACGTTCCGTTGCTTCACTAACCACCTCCTGCTGTTGGCTAACTGCTGCTTCAGCTGACTTTGCCTTTCTCCAATCAAGATGGGTGCCTTGGGGATGAGGCTCCCTGCTCTCCCTTCTCCCCTTCTCCCAGCTACAAGCTGTCTCCCTCTGGTTCCACACTATCCAACGTCGGCCTTGGGGCAATCGGCTCAGGGCTCAGTCCCCAAAACTTCGCTGCTAGACAAGTAAGCAGGCCACCTTGTAAGATGCATTGTTATATGGCTGCAACCTGAGCTTAATCCCGGTTAGTTGGTTGCTTGCATTTGTTTTCCTGCAAAATGAACGAGAGTAATGTTAATGAAAGTTTCAGATATATCAGGCCACAGAGAATTAGTCCACTTTGGTTGGTATTATGAAAATGTATTTTGTCTATTTTTGTTGGCCTCTTACTTCCAGAATCACAGTGCAACAGAAGATTTTTAGGAATGCATTTATCCACTGGTCAGTAGAAGTCATGCAACTCCTTAGTGGAGAACTATAATTATATCCTAATTCCATGTTTAAAAATGTAGTTAGGGGCTATTGTTTCACACTGCCACCACCAAATGCTAATTATTCCCAGACACTACTTAGTGACCTTATACGTAGAAATGTGCTTTTAAAAATTTGCACTCCTTTTGTATTGTTCCTCTTCCCTTCTGCCTCCAGCTCACCTCAAAAAGAGAGATTAAGTAAACAGTATTTAAAATTTCTTGAATTAGCAATATTTTTTTTTAACCTGTATATGGAGAGGGGAAGAAGTGGAGACATCAAGTTGTAGTTTGGAATATCCCTGCCTTGCTATTATGTTTTGCATTGAGAAAACATTACAGGAATGCAAAGAAATGAAAGAAAACAACCCAAGTATTATAACTAGACTAGCTAATATAGTTGCATGCCTAACATGGTGGTGTTTCTTTGTGTTGTCTCTCTGTTTCTATGTGATGTAGTAAGTGTTGAACATCAGATCAAAACTGAAATTTGCAGACGTATTCTAGGGTTTGGTCTGCTAAATTTTAGGAATACTCAGAATGTAGCCACAGCTTCAAGCCTCTCAAAAATTGAAAATGGAGTTGACTCTGGTCAGCTCTTTCTAGAATAGCAGCTCTTCTGTCTCTTGGATTTTTGGTGGTTTTGCTGTCTTCCTATATTTTTAATATGACATCTTCATCTGCTTCTGAAAGCGAAGGTGTAAATTAACTATTATGGAAAGGGGATGCAAAGTAGGTGAATGAAGAATTTGTAAAGCTGTCAGTAAGAAGCAGCAGAATGGGAGATGTCTATTGAAGAAGTATAATGAAGGACATACAATTTTATAGTAGAAAGGTAGCAAAATTGATGAAATCCTGGAATGCAAGAATAGCAAACGTTCTGGAGGAGGCCTTGACAGAATCTCAATTTGGGAGAAAGATCAATTTACTTTGTGGGCAATGATTCTGGGGTAGCATACATAGAATACAGGAACACTTATGATTTCACAACACAAGGATTGAGCAGGAATTGTTTTGCTTAATGAAAATGTTGAATTCTGATTTTATTTAAGACACTGAATGGCCTGCAGAGAAAGTATCAGGCATTTGAATTGCGTCTTGACAACCTAAACTGGCACCTGACTTTTTTTCAAAGCTATGGCCAGAAACTTGTGTTGACACAGTCTTTACCATGCATACCTTTAAAGAAGTAAAATGCTTTTGAGCGTGGTGTTTGTGCTCTGCGTCTCTATTTCCCGGCCTGTAAAGTGCAAGACACAAAACATGATCTACTTTATAGTGCACTTTGAAATATATGGATAAACATGACTCTTTAAATGGGAAGGAAGAAGTGCCCACGTTTCAGAAATGTAGTCCAGGACCCTTAAGATAGGTGGTATGTTACCAATGTAGGACAGACATCTCAGTAGCCACAAGGATATTCTGTCAATATTGCCTCTTTGTTATTTGTATGTAGTTAATAGTATAGAAATCCATTATCCTGAGGATTTAACTTCTCACTACTGCTTTAATTTTATAGGGTGGCAATCACGGTTTGTTTGGAAACAGCACAGCACAATCGAGAGGCATGCACACCCCAGTGCAGCCACTAAATCCTTCCCCCAATATCCGGGCGCAAGTGCCTCCCCAGTTTCTTTCCCCCCAGGTAAGGAATTGAAGTAACTGGTTACTCATAAAATACAGAGCTAAAGCTTTCAGAGGATACTTTCAAAGTTGCTTATATGTTTACAAATTGAAAACGTAGATATTGCTTAAAATTCATCTAGAGCTTTTCTTTTTTAACTTACTTGGAAAGGTTAGCTGCCTCTATCTCATTCCACAGCAGTTAATTATAAATGCTCACTACCAGTACTTTCTCTCAAAATACACCCAGGAATCTGTATCCCAGCGAGGCTTTTACATAGTACTTAAAAACAAAACAAAACAAAAAAATCATGTAAAAGCTGAACATTCTTCTGAAGTGCGGCAGATTGCTTTATTTCTTTCAAGCAATCTTGTCCTGTCCTGAATGAGAGGCTTGATGAAGGGCTGCATGCTGTATTCACATTCCAGATTTTAAGATCAGGCTCTCCAAATGCACAAGTTTCCTCTGCTCTGTCTTTTGCTTTGGACTTGGTAAAGGCTTGTAGATACACCTGAATATTCTGCTTGTGTAACTTTCGAGTATATAGGAGAAATGGGGATTTTTCTTCACCTAATCCTGTCTTTTACTATAGCTATTCACCAGCGTACAAAGAGATTAACTTTTTCTGTTAGGCATTCCATCTTTGCTACAGTGACTGCCTGACTGCCTTTCTTTTCCTTGTCAAGCAGTACACTTTTAATGTGATAATGCAGTACTGTGATTACTGTTTAGTCACAGATATATCAAGATTTTAATTCAGTGTGGTATCTAGCAACTGACTGGTTGGGGAAGAGACATTTTTGTGTGTGTGTGTCTGTATCTGCACACGTCCTATCGTGTATTGTCAGTCGAGGTATCCATTCTGTTCAAGTCATAGATAATGCATGTGTAAATGTGATGAGTTAGGAAGTCTGTAATGTCTTTCCCAGATGACCATTCAAGAATGGTGTGTGTAACACCTGTGCCTTTATAGATATACTTGCATTTTATTTTTATTTCTTATAGTAGTGCTTTTCTTGAGGGTATGTAATTGTTCTCCATGCAGGTTTCGGCCTCCATGCTCAAGCAGTTTCCCAACAGTGGCTTGAATCCAGGTCTTTTCAACATGGGGCCGCAGCTTTCTCCACAACAGATTGCCATGCTGAGCCAGCTTCCACAGATTCCCCAGTTTCAATTAGTAAGTAGCTAGTGATCTTGTGAGGCAGATTGTTTGCAAAGTGTGTGCAGGAAGAGATTTCTTTTTACGTTTGTTGTAATTCTGGTTTGTTCTGCTGAACTTGTGTTATTTTTGTACAAGTCCTGCTCATTTTACTGGAAAAATGCAACCCTATTAGAAACCAGCAGATAATGCAAACAAACAGGCCCATGTAATTATTGTGAATGTTGGAATGGGTTGGTAATGATCATGAGCCTTTTTTTTTTCTTTTTTTTTTTTTAATGAAGTTTCCAGTCTTAGTGACTGCAGTAACGTGATATTATTTATCACATGATACGGCATTACTGTTACATGATATGCAATTAGAAAAAGGTAAGGGATACTGTAATTCCCTGGTGTTTTAATTTTATTTCATTATGAAGAATGAGAAACAGTTCACCTTTACCTAAGTTCTGAATAAAGCACTTACTATGACTAACTCCTGACAATTATTTTTCACCCGACGAGCTCTTTATTTTCACCCTTCCAACCCACTTATCTCGTAGGCGTGTCAGCTCCTCCTTCAGCAGCAGCAACAGCAGCAGCAGCAGCTGCTACAGAGCCAGAGGAAGTTATCTCAAGCTGTGCGACAACAGCAAGAGCAACAGGTATGGCACTATTTCTGTCAGCCCTGTGAAGTGTGTTAGGAAACGCTGTCTGCAAACACTGTGATAGGTTTAGTCGTGCCACACAATCTCTTTGGTGTTCGGTTGCACTATTCAGAGTAAGTCTGCTTGAGTCTGTCTCACAGGAGTGTATCTTCACATGGAATTGTGTTCCAGTACAGGATAAAGATCCATTTGTTTCTTTCCTTTGCAGATTGCTCGTATGGTGAGTGCCCTCCAGCAGCAGCAGCAGAGACAGCCTGGAATGAAGCATTCCCCATCCCACCCTGTTGGGCCTAAGCCACATCTAGACAGCATGGTACCCAATCCTTTGAATGTGGGTCTCTCAGATTTACAGACCAAAGGGCAAATACCTGGATACGGTTCAGGTAAGTGTGACTGTGCAAAGACGTTTCCTGCATTGCTCTTTGTATTGTTGTATTAGCCAGTTCTGTCCACAAATAAGTAATTTATATGTGAGTAGTAGAGGGAAATTTGCAATAAATATGTCAGTTGTTGAAAAAAATATAAATTTCTTTTAATTATGAGACGAAACCAAACCTGTTAGCAAAGGGTTCACTGTGATTTAACAAGCACATATGAAAGTTGCTACTGTTACATTTACCTGATTTAGGGTTCATGGTGCCTCCATCTTTGAGGACAGCTGAATCAAAAAGAACGAATGATAACAGATCTCTGTTTTTGTTTCACAGGCTTTGGCTCAAGTGGCATGTATTATGGCATGGTGGGAGAGAAAGAGGCTGGAACAGAATCCCGCTTTAAACAGTGGACTATGATGGAAGGGCTGCCCTCTGTGGCTTCACAAGATGCCAATATGCACAAAAATGGTGAGAGGGGGCTGGCTCTCTTGGGAGTGGAACCTTGATAAGGCTGCTCTTGCCATATCACCTCACAAGAGGTGAAAAGGCTTGGGTGCAACTGTGCTAGTTATCACTTTACCTTGCTTCTACTCATCCTAGTTCTGGTTTTAGTATTCCATACTTCCTGAATCTTTACCTGAATCTTTCCCCCAATCTTTCCTGAAAGTAGATGTGTGTGTCTCTGTGCTCAGGTGCAATAGTGCCCCCTGGAAAGGCTCGTGGAGGATCGCCCTACAACCAGTTCGACATAATCCAGGGCGACCCACTAGGCCACGCAGGCCCTGCTGGTGATAGTTGGTTACCTGCCAAATCTCCACCAACAAACAAGATTGGAAGCAAATCCAGCAACGCCAGCTGGCCTCCAGGTATTACATATGGGGAAACTATATCCCAGCTCTAGAGTAGATGCCTTAGGAGCTTTTATGCCCAGCTCTTCAAATAATCACTGCAAGGAAAATATTTGGTGGGCCTATCTCATTTGTTAAAAATTCTTGCATGTTACTTTTGGACCTAAAGGTTACATTGCCATTAAAAATTTGCTGAACTAAATACAAACTAACTGCTGAATTGCCTGCATAGCATTTGAAATTTTTTGTTCAATGAACTCATTTTCTGTGGTTTTGTGACTTACACTTAGCAAAATTTACAGGAGAATGCTTGTCTGTAGCATACCTCACTTGTGTTGCATTTCACTGACATGGAGTGCAAAAAATCTGAATGATAACGTAAAAGTAGAAAGCAAAAGGTGTAAAGTATGTGTGCGAGAGAGAGAGATAGATAGAGGTGGGAAAATAATTTTCCTCTTCTGACGTTTTGTATTTGGTGTAGCTTGAACTTTTCCTCTGAGCAATTGTCCAAACATAAGATCCACTGCAAGTGCAAGATCTTTTTCCAGCAGTAGCGGTACAATATTTGTGCCGTGCTGTTTGCTGTGGTTCATGCTGGTTATATAAAAGATAGAAGAACATTACCACGTTTTCGTACCTCTGAACAATCTTGTGGCTTGGCTAGAACTTTCTTGCCTTTGGGTTACAGACAGTAGCACATTTTTCAGTTCTTGAGTTTCACTGGCAGAGTTTTTTCTGTGTACTAGAAAACTGAGTATCTAGCAGAGCACATACATATCTGAACATGCACATAACTTTATATATAAACATTCCTTAAATCCAGAGTGGTGTCCTTGAAAGTGCATGAATTAACACACCAACGTTATTCTGCAAGCAGCAGATTCTGTGACTTTTTTCTTTCCATGGGGCAAGGCACAGAATCACACAAACATAATAGCTGAGGTTGGAAGGGACATCTGAAGATCGTCTAGTCCAACCCCCCCTGCTCGAACAGTCACCTAGAGCACATTGCCCAGGCTTGTGTCCATACAGCTTTTGAATATCCCCAAGGATAGAGATGCCACAAGCTCTGTGGGCAATGTGTTCCAGTGACCCTCACAGTAAAGAAATTTTTCCTTACACAGCCTAATCAGTGGCATTTATTTCAATTGCAAGTGGACATTAGGAGCCCTGTCTTTTATATCCAGACTAGGAAGCAGTTGCATTGATAGTCGGTTTGACTGCTCTAGTAAGGCATTACTAGACACTTTCAGTGTCACCAACTTCCAGAATTCTTCACAAAGGCAAGGCTCAAAACAACCTTGATAGCTTTTTTTTTTTTTTTTTTTTTTTTTAGCAAACAAGTTCCAATTTGGGATATCTTGTTGTGTTGTTGTGTTCTTTATCTCAGAACAGAAAAGATCCTATGACTAGAGCTTTGTCTTGGGTTGTGCTTAAGCATAAGATGATCCCGTTTTTAAGGAATTGAAGCATTTTGAAAGTAGCTGAGCAGATTCCTGTCTTGGTGCAGTGCTGGTGGTTCATACTGTGGGGAGTGTTGATACCCATTATCCTAGATTATTTTCTAGTGTTACTAGAAGACACTAGACTGGAATATGTGGCTGCGGTTTATGAAATTATAGAAGCAGTGGATAAGGCAAGTGCAAACTTGTTATTCCCCAGATTTGAAACGCTAGAACTGTGGTGCAAATTCTATAACTAACAGGGCGTACGTTTAAAATAGATGAGAGGGAGTAGTGCTGTTCTGCACTGTGTTACTTCTAGAGCCTGTGGAAGCAGATAGTGCTAGCTGCCTCAAAAAGTACTTAGATAAATTGATGGAAAATAGGCCCGCAAGGAGGTGCTAGCAGATCCAGGTTGCTTCTGACTTCCTGTCATCTGCAACCCTGCAGATGCTGGGAGGGTTTGAGAGGAGTAGCCTGCCAATAGTGGCTAGGTTTGAATTCTCTTTCTTGGCCACTGTTGGAGACATACTGGACTAGAAGGACTACAGTTCTGACCCAGTAGGGCATTATTACGTTTTATCTGAAGTTCATACTTCTTACTGTGGCAATTATTTGAATCAAAGGTACAGCTTTTTTTTATTATTATTATTTTATTTTTTATTTTTTCTGTCCTCTTTGTCTGTGAAAGTAGTAGACAATTTTTTTGCCCTTCTGAAGTCTCCTCAGCCCTTAACTTCCCAGAGAAGGCATGCCCCTGTCTGCGTCTAATTCTGTTTCCCTCCTGTCCCAGAGTTCCAACCAGGAGTGCCATGGAAAGGTATACAAAACATTGACCCTGAGTCTGACCCCTATGTGACCCCTGGAAGTGTGCTGGGGGGGACAGCCACATCTCCCATTGTAGATACTGACCACCAACTTCTGCGGGACAACACCACAGGTAACGCAGCAAACTAGCATGCCATCATTTAAGTCATTCTGATACTCAAGAATATCCTGATGCTCCTGTTGTAACAGAAGGAGAACAAGGAATCAGTTGCCTTTAACTACAAAGGAAACCTGTGTGCTTTCACACAGAGGGTTGTGCGTCACTTAAAAGGATGATGCTGGTACAAATCATGGCTCTGTGGAGATTCAACAGTGTGACGGAAACTCTGCAACATTCGCATACTTTTCTCTTTCTCTCTCCCTTTCCCTTCGATAGGGTCTAATTCTTCCCTCAACACCTCGCTGCCTTCACCTGGTGCCTGGCCCTACAGTGCCTCTGACAATTCCTTCACCAACGTTCATAGCACTTCAGGTATGCGGGCTCCTAGATTTACCTCAACAAAAACGTTTTCTGTTTGTTCACTAGTTACTCTTTCTTCTCATTCTTACTTCATCTTGGATATTTTAGTCTTGCACTGATTTCTAAGGAAGCTCAGAAATAAAAAGTCTTGAGTAGCTGCTCAGATAAGTTTTCCTACTAATGGCAAAATACTCTGCAGTAGCTGTGTTAGAAGCCAAGCTAAGATCCTGCCCCCTGCCATGATATGAAGTTCTTGGTTTTGCAGATTAAAGAACATGATAGTAACAAGCAGCAGATGAAACAAGAAAAAAAAAAAAAACTCAGTATATCAGAAACCGGTTCTAAATATTTCTTTTTAGTATGCCTGCTACTGTATGTGTGAGTTAAAATCTCTTGCCTTATCACTCAAATCTGTATTTATCTTCAATCTTTAGAATATTGGGAGTGCTGTGAGGGGAATGTTTTTGCCTCCCTTTTTGTAGTGCTCATCATTCCTTAAAAGCTGATGAGAGAGTATTTTTGCTTTTGGCAGGTGGCCTGTAAACAGTAACTTAGATGTCTACCTGCATCTTTGATAAGGAAGTTTCCAAAACTTTATATTGAAAAATGGGCTCTGCACACACTTCCAATTAGGGAGCTGGAAATATTTGCTGCAGACAATCCATTTGGGTTTCCAGCCTTTTGGAAATGCTGGTTTCCTCTTGAGGCATGGTTGTCTTTGGCACATACTTCAAACTGAAGAATTGTGTGTAGGTAGAAGAAACAGGAAATATCGGCTGGGCCAGATGCAGCTCTGAGCTATGTGTTTTATTTTCCATCTTACTGGGTAACGGCTGTGTTCACATGTTGAACCAAGTATCTTCACAAAATGTGTTGAAAGTTTGATTTAACCCTCGAGAATAGTGTCCAAGCTACCATTTTTTAGGGTGACTTTGGTTTGAAGCAGCATCTATGTTGTCCAGTGTTATAACGGCATGTAAGATTTCTTTGACAACCCAGGCAGAGGAGCACCATATTTCAGGTTCTTACCTCTGCTTAACTTTGTCTAGCACAAAAGAAATAACCAGAAAGATTAAAAGTGATTAAAGTCATAGTTGAAAGCAAGGAACCAGACTGTTGTCTTGCACAGATCCTTTTTGTTCCTTATTTAGATAAGCTGCATAACAGCACTTTACAGCTGGAAAACAGGTCATCTTAAAGTGGGGATTTGGAATTAACATATCCGTAAAACTAGTTGGGTCTACTAAAAGAAAATTTTAAGCACTTCTGACTGTGTTATTCATAGATTAGTGCTTAAAGCCTGCTTGCCATTGATGATTACTGTTACCCATCTGTACTTGAGCAACTATGAAATGTAGTCATCCAAATGTAAAGTGAAGCATATTCTCATTTCTTGATGTGTGGCTGATAGATACCTGGTGATGTTTTCTCATGTAAATTGAGTATATCCCATCCAGATTGTTTAAAGCTAGCTGCCACAGTTGAATGGCCTTCGTATATAATATGTTTTGTGTATAACACGTGATTACAAGAGTTAGTCCTGTAATGAAGTGTGTCATGAGGCAGACATTAGCTTAGTAGGCCAAGAGTGATAAATCTCTGTTTCAGTTCTCTGTGAGGTTGGGACTTGAAGAAGGTTAGTTTAATTAATTCAGTGTTGCCCAATCTTGTAAGAAATGTTCAAATGTATTGTGAGGTTCTAAGATGAAAGATGGTATGTCCATGAAGGTTACTATGATTATTCTTAGTGTTTGAATATACTATGACCTGATATGTTATCATAAAGCTGCCAAAAAAACTAGATCATCTATTTAAAGTGACCAAAGATTAACCGTATGTGACTTGGCTTGTTTGGCTTTTTTGGTATGGCAGGTTTTAACTGCTGCATGATTCTGTGCTTTGTGCTTGTATCTGACAGCAATGTGCTAAGATTTACATTAATAGTTAGAGGTGAAGGCTACTTGAATCTTGAGTTTCACTAATTCATACTGTTTATTTAATCTTATAGCAAAATTCAGTGATTACAAATCAACATGGTCCCCAGACCCCATAGGACACAATCCCACTCATCTCTCCAACAAGATGTGGAAAAACCATATTTCCTCAAGGAACACTACAGGGCTGACCCGCCCCCCTCCTGGCCTGACCACCCCCAAACCATCATCTCCATGGAACAGCACAGCAGCCCGGTCGGTCAGGGGCTGGGGGGCACAGGACTCAAGGCTTGCCTCTGGTGAGAAGAATCACCTGCTATCACCATTGATCAGAGCTGAGGAGTGTACGTTTTACAGCACTCATGGTTTGGATGAAAGAAGGTTACAGTTACCTGGTAAAAGGAAACAACATAAGTACTTCTCAGAATGGATATTTACCGTCAGTGACGGGACTGGGGGGAGAAGGTCCCAGGACCTGCTGGGGGAGGGATGAATGAAGAGGGCTGAAAGCTTCCTGGGAAGGAGTTTCTAATGCATGGGGCCTCTCAAGATTCAAGGGGGTTGGGTCAATGCTCTGTCTGGGTGGGGAGTTTCTAGAGGATAAAATCTAGTAAAAAATGAATCCTGATTTGAAATGTGAAGATGTGTTTTTGTTTTCAGAACTGAAAATTGGACTTGGTTAACATGGCTAGTAAGCTGGATCTGCTCAAGACTGGAAGACCTAACTGTAAAGGAGAAGATTTTTCTTTGTATCAAGTTTTTCTTGATTATTCTCTCTTTTGCTTGTAGCTTCTACTTGGAGTGATGGTGGCTCAGTGCGTCCTAGCTACTGGTTGGTTCTTCACAATCTCACTCCACAGGTATTTTCTGTTATTGTCTCTGGGAACCTGTTTCTGAGAGATGGGTTGTGGAATTTTTAGCTGGTCCTATTTGAATTAAATTTAACAAAACAAATTGATGATGTAATTCTTGATTAAACTGGACTGTAGTCTGCTTTTCTATTGTAATCATGTCAGCTAACTTGAAGATGTTTTTTGCTGTATAACCATCGCAACCTTTCATTATGTAGAATTTCAAGGAATTACTTGAAACACAAAGATTATTTTTCTTAGAAGTGAGGGTAATGTAGAATGGCTTATAGCTGTTATTGACGACATCCCAAGTAAATAGTCCTGGAGAAAGCTAGTGTAACTGCCGGTTTTCACTTTGGTGTTTCCATAGTGAAACCACAGAATGTTTCCAGAACTCCTGCCAAAAGCAGCCTAGTTAAGATTATTCTAGCAAGTATTCTCAGACCTTACTTCCATTCAGAACGAATTCTGTGGAGGTCCTGGTTTCAACCATCCCAATTAGTCTGTATTCAAGGCTTAGGAAAAGCCTTATATGATTATTAGCAGCGTCCTGAGGTCTAGACAGAGAGTTCTTTGTTTGGATGGATAATTTGCTATGCTCTTAATACAGTCTAGGAAAATATCACTATGAAGGGAAGGTGTCCTAAGATATCCTTTGGATTACCCAAAATGGCAACCTATGCTCCCT